AATAAAAATTAATTAAAAAGGTTAAAATAATTTATAGAAATATTAATTATGGATTTAGATAAATGTACATTATTGGTTATTAGATAAATTAATGGAAACTTCCACTACTTTTTAAGTAATGGAGAGGATCCTTTCTTAATAGGAAAAAAGACCTTCTCCTAGTGAAAGTTTGCACTAATTTATTTAATGGTTAATAATGCATATTCAACTAAAATTATTGTTGAAATTTAATGATTTTAAATTGAAAATAAAAATAAATAAAAATTAATTGAAAAGGTAAAAATAATTTAAACAAATATCAACTATAGATTTAGATGAATGTACATTTTTGATCATTAAATAAATTAGTGGAAACTTTCATTACTTTGTAATGGAGATAATACTTTCTTGATAGGAAAAAAATCATCTCTATTACTTAAAAACTAGTGAAAGTTTACACTAATTTATTTAATAGTTAATAATGCATATTCAGCTAAATTTAAAAATGAAATTTGATAATTTTATATTAAATATAAAAATGAATTAAAAAGTAAAAATAATTTAAACAAATATCAACTATGAATTGTACATTATTGGTCATTAAATAAAAATTTTTATTCAAAGTTCAACTTTGATATAATATTTTCAAAGTTGAAAATATTAACTTGTGATATTAACTTTCACTGTACTAGTTTAAGATTATCTTTATCAAATTATTATTATTATTATTATTATTATTATTATTATTATTATTATTATTATTTGAAGTTATTGGGATTTGAATTTGATTATTGAAATTAAGATTCGACTAAGGCAGAAAAGAGAGGCATAAGTTAGAAAATGCGCTCGGTCTATAGACAAAGGAGAAAAAGGTTAAGGCAGGTTCTGCTGCCCCTGGTAGTCTACCTTCTTGTTCTTCTGCATGAATATACCAGACTGAAATACTATAGGATTGAATGATCCTCAAAAGCAAACAAAAGTTGTGTACATAATAAACAAACTAAATGTAGATATTGTATGCCTTATAGAAACTAGAGTAAAAAAACATAAAATGCAGCCTATTCTTGACAAGCACTTTGCTGGTTGGGCTAATTTTCTCAATTCTACAGCAGACACTAAAAAAAGATACGGGTTCTTTGGAAAACCTCTGTAAGGATGATTGATATGCTTAACTTATCAAATCAATTTATTACTAGCAGCATCATGCATGAATCAAGAAAATTTTACTTGTCAGCTATATATGGCAGTAATGATGGAATCCAAAGAAGAAGATTCTGATCCTAATTATCTTCACTTATTGGTAACATTTCAGATTCTTCATGGTTGTTGGCTGGGGATTTCAATGTTATAGCTCATCCTACCGAGAGCTTAGATTACAATGGCAACCAAACTGGTAGATCAGAGACAAAAGAGTTTCAAAACTATATGGCATTACATGATTATATCTCAACAGGGCCTCTCTTCACTTTGTCAAATAATCAACCTGGAAGCCATTTAGTAAGGAAACTAGACAGGGTTCTTATAAATGATGCATGGCATACTGCTTATGCCAACTCACATATGGAATACTTGGCCCCAAAAGTCTCAGATCATTGCCCTACTCTTATTAAACTTAAAATGGCTGGACGTTCTCCTCCCAAGCCATTTAAGTTTTTCAATTATTGGACTGGCAATTCAGAGTTCAAGCAGATCGTGGAAAACTCTCGGTGAGTGCATGTTAAAGGCAACCCAATGGCTATATTGCATATGAAGCTTAAAAGGCTAAAAATGGAGTTGACGAAGCTTAATCATGATTACAATGGAAATTTATCAGACAGAGTGCAAACTTCTTTCTCAAACTCTAACAATAGCATTGGTTGAGTCGGAAAGATCTCTCTTTCTTGAGTTAAAAGCACTCACTTATGGATGCTGAAGAGAGTTATTTCAGGCAAAAATCAAGAATAAGGTGGATTCAGGAGGGGGATCAAAATACCAGGCTTTTTTATAGGGTGATGGCAGCTAAGCAAAATAAGAGCACAATCAAGATTCTAACTGATGCTGATGGTAACAGGTTAAAAGTTTTGACCAAATCTCACAAGAAGCTGTCTTGTTCTTTAAAAAGTTAATTTGTATAGCTAACCAAAATGATGTAGGTTGTTCGCATGAATTCTTGGTTGAACTTCTACAAACTTTACTTCCTACTAAAACTTAGGAAACTTTTACAAGACCCGAGGCCAAAGAGGAAATAAAAAGAAAAAAAACCATGTTTGCACTCAATAGCGAGAAAGGCCCAGGTTCGGATAGCTACAGCGCTCATTTTTTCAAGCAGTCTTGGACCATAGTTGGTGAGGACGTCTGCGAGGCTATTATGCATTTTTTTACACAGGGAAAATGTTACCTGCCTTCAATTTAACAATTGTTGCACTATTGCCAAAATGTATAATCCTAGTAGCATCAAGGATTATATATCGATCTCTTGCTCTTCTATAGTCTATAAATGTATTACTAAGATATTGACTTATAGCCTTAAGAAGTTCCTCCCAAGTGTTATTAGCGGTAGTCAGAGTGCTTTTATTGAATGGAGAAGTATCGTAGATAACGTTTTGATGGCACAAGAAATGGTCAGGGGATATGGTAGAACCACTCTATCACCAAGGTGTGCTATCAAAATTGATCTCCTGAAAGCATTTGACTCGCTGGACTGGCAATTCTTTCATGCTGTGCTACAAGTAATTGGGCTACCTGTAAGGTTTATAAGATGGATTTGGAAGTGTATTACCACTGCTTTGTATTCATTGTCTCTGAATGCAGGATTGATAGGCTACTTTAGAGGTGCAAGGGGAATTAGGCAGGGGGATCCTCTCTCTCCTTACATATTCGACTTGGCAATTAATGTTTGCCTATCATCCAAAATGTAAGAGAATTGGGTTGTTCCATTTATGCTTTGCAGATGATCTGCTAATTTTTGCAAAAGGGAATTTAGATTCTGTCATGGGGTAAAAGAGGTGCTGCAAGTGTTTTACACTTTTTGAGGACTGCAACTGAATTGTGCAAAAAGTGAACTGTTTCAGACTGAAAATGACAAAGATGAACTACTAGCCATCCAACGAATTTCTGGATTCAAGATTGGCATCCTGCCAGTAAGATATTTGGGAGTCCCATTGGTCACTAGAGGACTCGTAGAAAAAGATTGCACTCCATTGATAGAAAAGATCACAGTTAAAATTAAAAGTTGGGCTGTACAACAACTTTCATATGCTGTCAGAGTACAGCTCATACAGTCCGTAATTTTTAGTATGCAGAATTATTGGTGTAGACATTTCGTCTTACCCAATAACATTATAAGGAAGATTAACCAACTTTGCTCAACCTTTTTCTGGAAAGGGAAAACAGAAACAACAAAGGGAGCCAGAGACAGTTGGAAAGCAATTTGTTTTCCTAAGTCAGAATGAGGATTACGACTCAAAGATTTAATGTCTTGGAATCAAGCCTGCTTCTTGAAGAATATACGGTCCATTTTCATAAAAGCTAGTTCATTATGGATTGCATGGCTTGAAGCTTATGTTCTAAAAGGAAAGAGTGTCTGGCAAGTTCCAATTCAACTAAACAGCAGCTGAAGTGGAGGAAGTTGTTGCAACTAAGGCAAATAATTTGGCAGTTCATTAAGTTGGAAAATGGAGTAGAAGTTTGGCCTTTTCTAAATAATAACTATTCTGCTGCTATTGTTTGGAAGATCCTTAGGAATGAGCAAGAAAAAGTTAGATGGCATAGGCTAATATGGTTCACACACCATATTCCTAAGCACTCATTTATCTCTTGGATGGTTATACTGAATTAACTACCAACCAAAGATAGGCCGAGAGCCTGGGGTAAGGAGACTGATGACAGGTGCCGATTATGCAAGACTGAAGCAGAAACAAGGGATCATATGTTCTTTGGTTGTGCATACTCAAAGGAAGTCTAGCAACGGTTATTTAAATCATGCAGAATTTGCAAAGTAGTGGAGAATTGGGGTTCAGAATTAAATTGGGCAACAAATAGATTGAAAGGGAAAGCATTGATATCCATAATTTTGAGACTAGCATGGAATACCTGCATATATCACATATGGAGGGAAAGGAACTCCAGAATATCCAAGCAAAAAAAGAGACAATAACACAGCTGAAAAATCGAATTAAAGATGATGTTCAAATACGGTTATAGGGGCTGAGCCATTGCAGATAGAGTCAATAAAAATTATGCAATACTTGGAACCTAAATGTGGCTTTACCAAAATAGCCTGGAAGTTAATTGTACAAACAGTCGGATGTTACTTTGTAACGGAACTCTACTTGCATGGATAAATAAAATAAAACTTATCAAAAAAAAAAAAAAAGAAATTAAGATTCAAATCAAATTATTATTTAGTTAATTATAAACCATATGGATATATGTTGATCATAATTGTGTGTAATAGTATTTCATTAGTACAATACATGTTATATATTTTTAATTATTTCATATTAATTAACATATTTAGCACTTTTAAATTTATTTATTGAATTATTAATATTTAAAACATATAAATAAGCTTATTATTAGTGTTAAAACGGGTTAACAATGTTTAAATGAATTAATCATGTTTGTACGTAAACGAGTCAAATTTTGACATGATTAAAATATGCTATTGATTTGCTACTTAAAACGTACGTTTGTCGTTTATCTAAAACTAATTTGCTACTGTCTTTGGAAAAAAAAATGGTGAGGCTTTGAGTACCATGTCTGCCGGCAACCCAACTATCTTAAGATTCATGGAATTATAGACAGGTGCTTCCATGAGTGGCAAAAGCCCCTTTCAATTAATTCTCATCAATTAGAAAGCAGATGGAAATGCATCAGTTGCACAAAAAGTAAGGAATTAAAGAATTAAAAAAATAAAGAATAGTGGATCTGAGACGGTAAGTATAATAGAAAGAGTTCATAGCAGCCGGTTTGTTGAGGGAGTACCGGCTGCGGCTGGGATTGTGGGCACGACTCTAGATACGTTAGAAAGGTGCGGGTCATCATGAGTTGCTAGCATTAGGCCGGTTCTGACTCTCTGGAGCATGCATTCCGCGCTCCTTCTGTAACAATTCCCCGGCTTTTGCCGCATGCAAATCCATTTCTGCCTCTGCCTCTTTTGCCATTCTAACCTCGTGAGCAATGCCCATCCTGGCTTTGGCTATATCTTTTTCGACCTATATGAATATCATTGCTAAAAATTAATTTGTGATTTATAACAGAAAGGACAAGGGAACAAAAACATATATTGAATAATATAAAAAATAAAAACAACCGAATTAATAATTGTTATGAAAGCTGAAACAAAACACTCATGCATGCATGCACCTTTTCCTCGGCCTTTGCCTCAGCCTTGGCCTTGCGCATCTCGCTCATGTCGTGTAACTTTTCCCTTATGGCCTGCATTTTCTATCCTCTGCATAAAACCAGGAGAAGTAGCCCGTTTCTTTACAATCACACAATACTTTTGAAAGTAACAATGTCTTAGCAGAAGAGAAATATATATACACAAAGCAGAAGCTGATGGTCGAAGTTGGTTGGGTGTCTTATGTAAACTTTGCAACAATTTTTTTTATGTGGTTTAGAAATTGTGTACTCAGTCAGTGATATAAACCGTGAAGCACGATGAACCATTGTTACCATTCAACATTTTCACAAGTCCGACAAATCAGTTCCAGTTTACAGTACCTTGACCGTGTAAAACTTTTGATGGATCTACATAATTTGTCCCAAATTTATGTTTTGTTCTCTAACCCATCATTGAAATATTACCAATAAAATTTTCTCTTCAATTCGGTTTCAATATTTCTCTTAAAATGTGTTGGTAGTTTAAAATGTGTTATACCTTATATTCGATAAAAAACTTAATTATTGATAAATAAATTTAATTTATGTATGACTTTTATTTATATTTTGAATAATTATATTTAAATAAAAATAATTATTATACGATAAATGATCATAATTATTTAAATATTAATAAATGATTGTTCATTTAAATCTTGATTATACAAATGATTATAAGCATTTGAATAAAAATTTATTTATTCATTCATTATAAATCTTTTCAATATAATAATTTTTACTATTTCTACTTAAACAGTTTTGGGATTTTGTTGCTTCTTAAAAACGTAATTACCTTTTTTTTTTCATAATTACCAGGTTAATATAATATTTTCATTAAACATTTCATATTAAACAATAAAGAGTGCTAATTTCATACACATAAATTGTACGCATGTATTTTTTTTTATCAAATTTTATTTTTTTTAAAAAATTTAATCCTGATGTTGTCAAATTTTAATGTGAATGAAATTTGTTTATGTTATAACGTGTATATAACTTTTTTAGGGATTGTTATAACTAAAGTTTGATATCAAAGGAAACGAGATCACTTTTAACACCCATAGTGACTCCCATTCTCTTGTATATTTTAAGGATTGTACAAATTGCCCAACAGTTAGTTTTACACTATTCCATTGGGTTTTGTTTTTGATTAAAATTTGAAACTATTTCGTTTGTTAAAATATTGTTTCTCTTGGAATTTTTTTTATTAAGATAAATTGGCATTAAGGCATAAATAAGAGTTTAATACTTAAAAAAAAGTATCAAAATTGAGTTAATATGATATTAAGGGCTACGAGGCTGACGGTCAAGGAGAGTTCGGAGGAGATTCGTGTCCTTCCCTAATTTATAGAGGGGATTTGTGCTTTTCACCCTAGTGTTCATAGTGTTTCCGTATCCCACCGAAAACACTTATATTCTTTTCCGTTTTGTTGTGATGTTGCATTTCAAGTGCGGGCAAAAAGCCGGGAGCCTGACACTGTCATGGGACATCACTCAGAATAGAAAAGGGATAAGAATGCAATTCACTTTATCATTTTATTTTTTCAGTTACAAATCGTCTTCAGCACACACAAAGTATCAGGTTCTTTTTTTTTTTTTTTTATTGAAATAAGAAGGCACGTCTCCATTTTCATCACACTAATAACTAAGCAACATACCGTAATGACATTAAAAGACGACCGTCTCAGTCAGCTACCCCTATGCTTGAATATCAGAAACATAAAATTCCTCTAGCTCCCACGGTAAGTAGCGAACGAGAATGGTGAAAGCAGCAGCGGAACATGAAAATGCTCAAATTTTTGCGTCTCCCTGATTTCAAAGACAATTGAAACATAGGGGAAAAAGCCTTCAGGGCAGTACTTACCTGTGTTAAAGCTTATCCGGTATACTCCAGGGCTTAAAGCATCTACCATGCTCATCAACTGACCGCTTCGTCCATCTTTATCAGTAGTTGAAGATCCTTGAAGTACCCAGCCACCTATATCAATCTCACCAAACAATGGACGAGGTTGGCTGCCCTTCCACATTTCCAAATGTACTTCAATACCAGCACCTGGAGATCCCCTAGAAACATCCAAGACATGGGTAGTAATGGGTGGTCGGGTTCGAGTTTGGACTTGAGGTGCTTTTCCCAGGAAACCTTCTAAAGAAGCATTTAAATGTTGTCCAATTATGCCCACTCGTTCTAGATTTTAAGAAATGGAGAAAGAGAAAGGAAGAATGGTAACTTAAATCCAAACAACTGCAACGCATGCATGGACCCAAAAGAAGATAAAAATCTCCAAAATGTTGTGACAACTGACAAAAGCTCAAGAACATGTTAAGCAGTTCAAAATTTCAAAATATTATCTCAACTTTTTAAAAACAGTTACACGCACCCCATTTGGTTTCAGAATCGTTTCCCCAAAAGATTATGTTACCATTAGTATTTCGTAGAACATAGAGGACTACAATAAAAGCAAGGAAACTCTACTAGTTATTTTTTTTTACAATGACGAAAAGTAGTTACCATGCATTGGTAGGAAGGACTTTCTTTTTTTACTTTGATGAATGGTAGGAAGGACTTGGTTCTTAGATAGTCAGAACTTAAAGTACTTCCATAGCATTTCATATATTTCAAAATGCACTTCATGCTATTCTTTTAGGTACATGCAAGTTAATCAACCAATAGAATAAAGTACCCTAGCAACATCACTTACCATGAGAAATGGTGCAATGTGAAACAGCATGTAGATTAGAGACTGCAAATGCAAGTGTTGAGAAAGGAAACCAACGTTCTGTTTTCAAGAATAAAAAGAAAAAAGAAGAAAAGGCAAGGAGAATTAAAAGTACCTTCAGCTTTTCTTACGCCCACCATTGAATACTGACTGCCTGTTGAATCAGCTTTAGCTTTAGCAGAGAGAAGCTTTCTAAGACGTGATTCCGTTACTTTCATTTGCTCCTGGGCTGCTATCTCAAGCTCAAGTATGGGCCTGTTCAAGTACCGGTTCTACAAGAGCAAAATTTAGATTAATTCATATCAACTTCAGAATAGTAGACTGGCCAGTTAACACATATTCAAAACAATGAAGATAAGCGTAAGGTAGTCAGCAGAAATCAGATTCAATAATGTTAAAAGATGCAGAGATTGTAGAACGACATGTTCTCAACCAAGTGATATGCTCAGCTTTTGGTAGATGCTCCTGCATGTAATAGTTACATCACATTGACTTGAGAAGTATCGCTATTAGTTGGTAAATGATCTAAAGCTCAGGCTAAATGTGTCAAGTTCGATAGCTTAAAAAGATGAACAGATGGTAGAACATGTTGTCACACAAGAGATGTCCTCAGCTAATTTATCATTGTCTCACAAAAAATATCAGCATAAATTCAGGTTAAAGGGACCATAAATAATTTTACCATTGGCATAAAATTCATGCATGTAAAAACTACTCTCCCAGCTGACTCAAGAATTATTCCTATTCGCCTGTAAATGATCTAAACTCGGGCAATTACAAAAATAAAAGATTGCAATTTCCAAGCCAACAATCAAAGTCAAAATATTTATTTCACTAACTCCTCCGTGAAGATATCATTTGAAGAAAGTTTAACTTTTAGATTATGGCAGCTTCTAAAGTTCAAGCTTTACCTTCAATTCATTAAGTATTTCGGCAGCACTCCTCCCAGCGGCACAAATTAAAAATACATGTCCAAATTTTTGCCTATATTGAGCATTCCAGTTGGATAGTTCCTGTAAGGCCAAGGTTGATCATTCTTTACAGGAAAAAACTGAATAAAAAATTGTGAATCCAACAACATTAACTATTTACTGTGTGTGAGTGTGCATTTAGGTAGCTTGGCAATTGTGTTTTTTGAGAGCTTGTTTTCAGTCCCTAATAGGCTTCCTATAATTTTTCTTGTTCAAGTGAAACATAATTCCAACCTGTAACCCAGAATCAGTGGCAGTTGCTAAAGCAGTTGCTTGTTCTCCTTTACTCCACCTGTAAAAAGAAAAAATGTCAAAAGAATCAACAATAAAAAATCAAATTGCATATTTGCAAAGAGAGAGAGAGAGAGAGAAAGAGGAGAAAGTCAAACAAGGATGCTATAACTGTTCCACTTTCCCACCAGCAAGTTTTGAAGGGTTTGACAATCAAATTGGAAGTTGTTTGGTGTTACCCTTACTTCATACCATAAGATATATGTTGGGGTGTTGTAAAAAGTATGGAAAGGAAAACCAGAAGGCAAAATGAAAAATCTAATTAAAAATCAATGGAACAAAACTTTCGACTTGTCTTGCTAATTAACATCCATTAAAGTTCTCTAAGATGTTTTGGATTACAATTTTCTTTCCAGTAATTTCCCTCATATCATCCAAGATCTTAAAGAAGTTACTAAACGGAAAAATGAGATGAAATGTAAAGAAAGAGAAGTTAGGTTCAAATGAAAACGGAAATGTGTAATCTAATGGCTACATAGTAGGCAAAAGTTGCGTCTAAGGCAGTTGAATTTGGTTGTATTGAACAAAGTTTTTTTTTTTTTTTTTGAGATAAGACCACCTTCGGTTAGCGGGTGGATCATGTTGATATCCAATGATGATTCATGATACAAGCAAATAGAATAACGAGATCAAGATGAGAAAAAGGGATAGAGACGGACTGAGCACTGGTGGTGTGAGAAGAAGGGGATTCTCCGATCTGAGGATGAGCTGCGAAAGCTTCCAGCCAACCATTAACATCAACCTTCAAAATCGATTTGATTAATTAGGAAAAAACTTTATTATTAATAATATGGTTTAGTAAAAGGATAAGAACAACCGATTGATGACATAAGAAAAAAACGAGAGAGATAGAGAAAGAAGAGACCTTGTTGAACCAGATATCCGTGGCGGCAGAGATAGCGTGATCCAAGGATGGAAATGGAGAGGCCATAGCCATTTGCTTGGCAAATTGGGTGCTGCCGCAGCATGCCAGGGCTTGCTTCTCATCCAACTTTATCTCCTCCATTACTTTTCCCTTCTGCTGACTTGCTATCCTGCTGGTGTCTGTGAATATGAGTTTGGAATTTACGGTAAAAAAAAAGGACACCCATGGGATTCGAACCCTCACCGGTTGGTTAATCAGTCAAAGTCCAATTAATGATAGAGTCGATGTGGATGATTGTACCTGTTGTTCTTTACCCCACGCGTATTTATCACCTGCTTAGAAAAGTGCCCCAATTTTCTTAAATAAAAATTAAAAAAAAAAATCGTTTCGCTGTTATCGCTTGTCGTTCTGAGAAGGGGGATGGCTCCATCCGTTTCTTCCCAACAGGACCAGGTGCTCCTTTTTCTGGAGACTTGGGTTTATTTCATTATGTGTTCTAACGATTTTCTTCATTCAAAAGACTTTGAAATCTCCAATCGTGTTGTATACGAGACACAACCCAGAAAACATTCCTCTCCTCTCCCTTTGCTCCTACGCTGAGCTTCAATATGTCAATCTGTCTGGCGGATTATGAGTTCCCAAAATTTCTCCTTGCTTCGCAGCTTAACTAAGTTTGGCATATTTGCGAGAGGATCACTCATGTTTCTTCATTAGCTCTGCAGGTTCTCGTAGAAGCAAACTCCTTTGCAAGAATACTAACCTTCAACAGGCCTAAGCAGCTCAATGCCCTCACATTTCAGATGGCATGATCTGTTCCTAATAGGGTGCTTCAACTCTTTCAGCAATTGGGAATGTCATACATTGAGTTTTAGAATCAAATGCTTTAAGTTGTAATTTTCCTTTTTGTAATTAACTCGTGGATATGCTTCAATCTGAATTAACCTATCTGGCTGGCCTTGGTTGGACTAAAATGGAATTCTATTTGCTATTGGTTATGCTCGTGCTGCAGTTATTGTTTTACAGTTTGAGAATTCATTCTTCTCTTGTCATACTACAATATCTACAATATCCAAAGTATAGGCAGCTAAGTATGATAACCTATCAAGTTTTCTTCCTTCCAATTGAATCGTGCCTTCAGGATCTGTAGAATCCACTTTAATAAACATGCTTTCCTTCTCTATTTCTATATTATCTGAATGAATGTTATACATTGTCCACCAACAAACATGAATTTGTTGAAACATAAAATAGCAATAATATTTTCTCTATTTATGGCAGATGTCTCGGTTATTGGAACTTTTTCTTGCTATGAGGAGGATCCTAATGTCAAGCTGGTAATACTGAAGGTACACACCTATGGAGAGACAGCTTTAACATTTTCTTTTACTTTATTAAAAAACCAATATGACCAAAAAAATAAGAGGAACATGAAGTTGTAAAAATTTGAGTCTGATGACAGTTTTGGGTTGCATACAAGCAGGCCTGCTCTCTGCTCTTATCTCATTTCAAGTTAAGTCAATCAGATTTATTTGACTGCTCATGTTGGGTTTGCCCGTTCTACTTGCTTATTCCTAGAATGTCCAATAGAAAGATTATCTATATTTTGCGTTAACTATGTTAGCACATTGGCTTGGTTATAGATAGACGACAGTAGTGACTCATTGACTATGTTTGGTCTTAATTTATGATCTCTGTCATGATTCCTTTTGGAAGTATAATTGGGCTCTTACATTTTAGCATAGTAATCATATATATGGTTCTTAGATAAAGGCCAGACAGCAATTTACTTCTCATTGGTGCCACTTAATTGGCAGAATACACTGGAAAGGGGCATTATCTGCTGAGTTTTGAACATTGGTATTCCTTACTGTAATCAAATTGTTGAAACACTTAGTTAATTTGCATGATGCAACTAAGTTTTTTGTATGATTCTGGAAGATTTGCTAGGTAAGAAGTTATCTTATTTGATTAATCCCTTCCATAAGATTAATTTCCTTCACAGGTTATGCAACCCAATGTTTTAGCACTGAAGAGAATGTACCTCACAGCTGGCCGTTTGTCATTAGGGAAAAGGAAAAGATTTTCTGCTGTTGGAGATGTTGCAGCTGTGGTACGTGATATTTGGGCAGGTATAGATTCTTTCATTTCTTATGGATACCGGATACCACTACTAATCCTTTAGGTCTAAAAGGTTAACAAGTTATATCATTAGTTTGCAATCACCTTCATTTCCTCTTTGTCTAGCTCACATTTGCGATTGCTTTTTTGCTAGCACAGTGGACCCACATTTGAAGTGCCGGTTCAAAAGTGTCCTCTTTTCCTTTTCTTTTGTTGGATGAGTTTGAAGTCAATGATCTTTTGTTATGCATTTATATGCTTTAGATGATTAGGGAGCAGGTGCCAACTTTTTTTTTTTTATGGTGTGCACCTTAAACTATTTGATGGCAACATATAGCAAACCACAGGTAATCCAATTGTCTTTAAGGCTCCGTTTGTTTCGCTAAAATGTTCTTCCACGAAACAAAAATTTTTCCTCAAAAGTATTTCTCTGAAATGCTAATATATTTTGTTGTTTGGATAACATTGTGAAAAAAAATTTCGCTGACTATACAGAAATATCTTCAAAACTCTTTATCCATGGATAGTTTAAACTCCAGTACCTTAATAACTTATTCACACCATCCAAACATATTATCATAAATTCTTGAATATTTTAACCAATTTGTTGAATTTATGAATCAGAAATAACCATGTAATGCGATAACAAATAGCAACTAAATTCCTTCAAATTCTTTGAAGCCATCTGAATCGTGTTTCAGTTATAACCATAATAATTTTTCAAGTCAAGCAAAATTGATAATTATTAATTGGAACATCAAATTATTCCAAAACCCTACTGTAATACTCCAGCCCAAATAATAATTGAGCTAGACTAATACTAAAGCCCATCAGTTTATTAAGACATTATTTAGTAAAAGAAAAATGGCTGAAGTATTAGATGAAAGAAAACCTAACTATCGTGAAACAGAATGAAAATAAAGTTCTTCTTTCTCATTTTCTTTAGGGTTAGAGAATATGAAAAATCAAGTTGGAGATTCACAAACAGAGGCTACAATCAAGTTAATCCCTTAAAGGTGAGTACATGCCCTCTTTTTATTTAAGAAGAAATATCAAGTTGATTGCTATTATTTGAAGTTAAAGTTTTGAGAGAAAAACTAAGAAAAATCATGAAATCCTTCATTAATCTTCATGACCTATTTGGGTAAATTACTGAGCTTTGTTTATTTCATGTTCTTAAGATTTATTGATGATTATTGAATGGAGTTTGTAGGCTGAAAGTAAGGATTTGAGTTTTTAAAGATTGAAGGAAAAATTCTGTTTTTGGATGAGATGTTGTGATCTGTAATAATGAATTAAAATAGAATTTTGTATTAATGGATAGATTATTGCTGTGATTATTATATATCATTGGAAAGCATGTTGAATCTAGTTTCTAATGAAATGAACCAAAGTCAAATCCGAGTTTTTTATGAAGAGTTGTCTAATTTTAACTTAAGGATATGCAGGCTGTAAGACAGTAGCATCAGGTTGAATTACGAAATGCCTCTTAATTTGTATACAAGGATTTACAGATTAAGCCATATATGTTTGGAAAGCTTCTTGAGTCTACTTTTCAATGAAACAAGTGAAATTGAATTTGGAGTTTCCTGTGAATAAATATATAATTTTTATTAGAAGGTATATAGGCTATCTGGCAGCAGCATATGATGAGATTTCAAAAATTGTTATAATTAATCTACAAGGAATTACGAGGTGTGCCATATATGGTTAGAAAGCTTATCAAGTCTAGTTTCTAACGCATTAAAGAGATCATAATTTCGATTTGGATATATTGAGATATGACTGTTTTAATGAAAAGAGGTCAGGCTGCCAGTATTAATTAGTTAAGTTAACTCTTGTGTAACTTAGTTGATTTTTGTATAAATGGTCTCAAAAAGGGTTGATTAAATTCTGATATGTTGAAATGATCTTGGATAGGCCATTAATTATTTTGGGGGAAAAACAAAGTGGTGGAATCGAATGAAGGTAAGTAGAATCTTACACACTTTGCTTGTTTTCGAATCTATGTATATATATATATATATGTTTCTAAATGAAAGAATGTTTTATTTCTTTATTTTCGTTATATGAAAATAGGATCAAGCATATGATTATTTTGTGTTTTGCTATGTAAATGATGGATCATGCTTATGAACGAAATGAGAAAATGATTTATGTTTAAAGAATAATTTTATGATGGCTACGTTTTTATATCCCTGGGAAGTGGGATCATCGACAGTAGAACTAGTTCTACGACCCTGGCTAATGGGTAATAGTAGTTAGCATAAGGCCCTGGCTAGCGGGTTATAATAGTTAGCAATGATCATGAGAATGAAATTGTCGATACGACCAATGTCACGGGTTATAGCAATGACCGTAGCTAACGATAAACAAATGATAATGATGATTTATTATGATGATGATTTATGATGATGTTAAAGATTGATCCATGATTTGTATATAAAGATGATTTATGATGATTTTTATAGTTTGATCCATGATTTGGTTTGATTATGATATTTGAATAGTAGTATATTTTGCAATGATTTATGAATTGACATATTTTTGTATTGATTTATGAATTTACAAAATGTTTGATAGAAAGATGACATTTGAAATATTTTGACATTATGATTTGACGAATGTTTTGAATGATCTATATGACATGTATGAAAACGATGCTTGATCTGATAAGGTGTGTGAGCCTATACTTACTGAGCTGTGATTTGCTCATTCCCTTTTACTTTTTCTTTACAGATGACTAAGTGATAAGTTTGGTTGGTCTTGTGTGAAGCTAGAAGATGAAATTGGTAAGATTATTTAATTGTCAGATAATATGTTGGTCAATGAGATTTTAAGAGACAGTTTTATATTTTATATGGTTTGTATTTGGATTTATAAAGATGTATCATCAGTTGGATTAAAGAAATAGATTTTACTTGGTAGATTGTTTTATAAAAGTATTTTAAAATGATTAAGAAAGAAGGTTTCGTATTACTTTGAAGTTTTTTTTCAAGGTAATACGGCCGTGTTGCGTCTTGGTCTTGGAGCGTGACACCCACCATCAAGTGAAATCCATACAAAATACTGCATAAAATTAATCTTCAGGTTCATATAATAAATCCTCAACCAAATTAATCAAGAACAATAAAAAATCTGGAATTTGAGCATAAAAGAACACAAAAACCTGAAAATTTAGCAAAAATGGAGTGCTGAAAGGGCAAAATCAATCAACAAGTTGCTGGGCTTTCTTGACGAGGTTGTGGTTGTGAATTTGAAGCTTCTGCAACTTGCAACTCTTGCTATATGGGTGGGGTGTTTGCGTTGTGATCTGAAGTTTTCAATGGAAAAGGGTCATGGATGGTCTGTGGAAAGGGAGAAAATGGATTGAGAGAGCAGGAGAAAGATGGAAGTTATAATTGGGAAGAGGAAGAGAAAATCAATTGTTGAGGTCTCAAGGGAGGAAAAAGGAAGAAGGAGAGGAAGAGAAGCTGTCGCCACTTATAGGAAGGGTGCAGTGGCTGGCCACTAGTGGTGGGAATGTGGCAGTGGGTGGTTGCCAGCTTGGTGAATTTTGGTAGCGGAGGGACTGGGTTTATGGGTCTCTAATGCGAATAAGAGGTGAAGAAATGTTTTTGGGTTATAACAGAGGAAATTCTCTTTCGGTTTTGAAAGTGGCAGAAAATTTCTCCCATGTTGCCTTCTTTATCCGTTGACTAGAGACAGTTGTTCCTTTGACCATGTTATTTTCTATCAATCAAACACTAGGAAATATAGAAATGGATTTTTAGAAGTCCATTTCAGTCAAACAATCAGACCCTAAGGAAAATTTCTAAAACGAGGCATTGAAGACTATGCTGGCTTTAGCCTATATCATGTATGTGTATGTTTGTTCTAATTGTGAGAATGCAAATCTCATTGAAGGTTTCAATTCTAAATGGAATCGTTATGGGAGGTGGGGCTGGTGCTTCATTGCATGGTAGATTCTGTGTTGCAATTGAGAACTCGGTATTTCTCTCTTTATGTCTCCTTTGAAGTATTTTATAATTTCCTTGCATTTATTAGAAGAAAACATGGCTATATCAGCATTTTTAGCTAAAATTTTCTCTTTTTTTTAATTAATAATGAATAAATCTCCAAATTAAAATAATGTGATGTCTTCGACAGATCTTGTCAACATTTTCCATTTTCTATAAATTTGTGAGACAATCAGATTCTATGTATGGGAGTTTTGGTTTTCTCTGTCTATATGTTTATATATTGGATGTTGTGTAGGTTTTTGCAATGCCTGAAGCAGCTTTGGGGCTCTTCCCAGATGTAGGAGCCTCATATTTCTTGTCAAGACTCCCTGGATTTTTCAGTAATCCCACTTATATCCTTGCTTATCTTATACATGCCCTAATTACTATTATTTTTAAAATTTCATATCCAAAATCCTTTCAAAAATAAGATGAACCTTTGTTCAACCTCTTCAGTAGCATCCAGCATTTTGTCTGATGCCTTTTACATTTACAAGGAAAAACGGAAAGGCAGTAAAGCATCATTTGTTGGGTCTATTTTTATGATAGCTACAATGGCTACATTTTCACTTTGTTGGGTCTATTTTGGTTCATAGAGCTGTTTCATGCTGTACTGATTGTTCTAGCTAGCCCGAAAACTTGTACACTTGAATGTTTTACTGGTTCAAGGTTAGATGGTGAAGAAATGCTTGCATGTGGCCTTGTAACTCACTTTGTCCCTTCAGCAGTATGGTATGCTTCCTGGCCTAATATGTAGTTGAGTTCAAATACATTTGAGAAAACGTAGATTCATCTTGGTTGGTTGAGAAAACATGATAGAGGGAACACATAACAAGTGTCAGCTTTGTGTTCCCTTTGACAAGTAAAGTTCGCATGCATTTTTCTTCTTATTCTATTTAAACATTAATCTTTGAAAGTTAAAGTTTAGAGTTATTGTCAGCTAATAAAAATATGCTTCTATATCATATAAAGCTACTTTTGTAACAATAACCTTATTTATCTTCTAAGGTTTTATGCTCATTTGTATAGAGCTAATTTTGTAACTCAAACCAAATCTTTCCTTTGGCTGGGGAAATTAAAACCAGGTTTCTGTCTGCACTTATTAAAACAATTAGAACTGCAAATACATTCTCCTACTTATCTGTGCTTTGTGAACAGAGGAAAAGCTGCACTGTGATTATTTTAGGTTATAATGATCAGAATGGAGTAAAAACTCTTATAATTAGCTAGTTAGGACAACTGTGCTTCTGTCTTAGGTATTTACCTTTACGTTAGCTAACTATCTAGGAAGTGCATTATGCTTGTTAATGTTCATAGAAACAAGGCTATATATGCATATTTTTTAGGGCTTAATTTGCAAATTTTCTTGCACTTGAATTGAAATCGACTTTTTGGAGGTTTGCAATCATGTCTATAGCTTTTAATTCCAAAAAAATGTCACCATCTGTTCAAGTTGTCATCTGTGGGATTGTTTTTCATGCACTATGAAAGCATTTTATCCTACTCAGTGTTTCATTAGAATTCTTAAAAGCTATGCTGAATTTATATTTCAAAAAGGGTAGTATGAAACTCTCCTGTTTTGTTCTTAGAAAGTTTATTTATTTATTTTTAAACTTGAGAACATACATTATTAGTTTATATCTTTTCACTTAATCAACAGAAATTACCTATGTTAGAAGCCGCATTATGCGATGTAGATTCCAGTGATCCAGTAAACATTTCATCAATTTTTGATCAATACTGTGAGCAACCCTCATTGAAAGAGCAGAGTGTGTTCAATCAGTTAGTTTTCTATTAATAATTAATTTTATTGCATAGCTTGTTTGATATCTGTAACCGAACAAGGGGCGGGAGAAAGAGAGAGAGATTTTACATATTGACAATGAATACAAAAAATTTTGAATAATTGTCGTTCTATTTTAATTCTGTTTATGGTAGATGAGGTAGCCTATAACTGCAGACTGAAGGCACATATTCACAACATTTATACATTCCAAAAGTCTGGTTTGTTACATAATATATTTAGAGTTTATAGTTTGTTCTTAGAAATTGAACTTGTTGATGTCATACTGACATGACTTTCCTAGATCCTCATTATCATTGGTTATGTGGCTGCAGGTTAGATGTCATTGATAGATGCTTCTTTAAAAAAACAGTTGAAGAAATTTTATCTGCTCTTGTAAGTTGATGACGTGATTTTGTTTGTTCTAGGAAATGTTAATCTGGTGCTCTCTTTTAATGTTTCTTGCATGTGTTTTCAAAGTTTCCTGCAATTTATTATAACATCATTGTATGGCACCAAAGACAATAATCTGATGAAAATGCTTACACAGGAGAGGGAGGTTGTTCACCAAATGGATGGTTGGATCTCTGCTACAATTCAAACTCTAAAAAAGGTTTCACCAACAAGTCTTAAAATTTCTCTTAGATCAGTAAGTTGACATATTCATATTGCTTGAGACATGCCAATGATATCATTATTTTTTGAGTTTGCTTTAGGGTTTCCCCAACCAACAAATCTGATATAAAGTATGCTCTATTTATCATATTTTTTAGTCTAGTTCATTTTGAAATTCTGTATTAAAGATTATAACCATAAAAAAGACTTTTATGAATTTCTTTTTTTTTTTACAAAAGCAAATCGATTTCCTTATGTATTAGTGAATAAATGATCATGGATTATCTAATTAGAAGATTGTTTCAGCTTAAAGTTGACTCTGCTCTTAATGTATTAGATTAGAGAAGGGAGGCTCCAAGGTTTGGGTCCATGCCTTGCTGTGAGTGTAGAATGGTTTGTCATGTCTTGCGGGGAGAACTCAGTGAAGACTTTTTTGAGGTTTCAGCTGACTCAAATTTATGTATTTTAACTTGCTTTCATTCTCACCGTTTCTGCAACTGATTAAAATCTTACTTTCCTATTGCAGGGTTGCAGGGTTGCAGGGTTGCATGGCTATGCTACTGGATAAGGATAAGAACTCAATGGTTGATATTCTCTTTCCTGAATCTTCAACCACTTGTTTCCATTCTATGAAGTTTCAACTGAATCGCCTACCCTTTTCTTTTGCCAGTGGGAGCCATCCAAATTGGAGGTTATTGCTGATAGTATAGTTGACTGCTATTTTTCCATGGTGAACCGTGAAGAATGGGAAGATCTAAAGCTTCCCACTAGATCCATGTTCAACTTGCCACCATATGCCATTGCAAAGCTTTAGATGACACTTAAAACTGATGTTGAGTGTAGGGTAGAATGTTGTAAACTATGTAATACGCAAGTCCGTTTGGGTATATTCTTCTCATTCTTTCAATGAGTAATAAGCTGTTATGGGCATTTTACATAGGCAACACAACACTGAATTCATGTGATCCCAATAAAAATTACCACAGTTAATGCTTCTGTTTACATTTTTTATTTGAGGGGAGGTTTTTCATCCTCCATTTCAAGCATGGCTGTTGTCATTCTTCTCTTCTGTTTAGCAAAATAGTTCTTACAAGCACCATTTGACTGGAGGCTGCCTAAGAGTTGAAAAAATAAATAAAGCCAATCTCTATCGTCTATGTATGATAGATGATCTGTATGGCATACAGAATTATAAAGCATAAGATTTTTATCTCGACGGGTGATTTTTCTGGCAGATCTATTGCTATCGTATTGGAGCAAGTTGGCTTCTCTGACCACCTTGTGAATCAGTGCAAAGTGAGATTATAGCTGACAGGAGGATGTGCAATATTCCTGCGATGAAATCAAAATAAGTGGCCAGCGTCGGAGTAAATGTTGTTTGATCTTTGAAGCTTTCTCACGGGGTTGAGAGTCCAAGCAGAGTGAGGTCAGATGCTAAAGAAACGATGGAGAGCATAGGAGATAGATTATCTGTGAATCGATTCATCTAGAAAGGTCAGAGGTGGCAATGGCTGCAGTTTTTGACAGCAGCTAAGCGTAAGTGGCATAAAATAACAGTACATCATCAGATTTTTGTTGGTCCCCCCCCCCCCCCCCCCTTCTCCCCCTTCTCTCAAGCCTCAGGAGTTGGGTCAACTAAAACACAATATTCCATCAGATATATGACAATGTTGATAATGCTTAACGCAACAAGCTGGGGAATAAAAAACAAAAGATCAATAGGTCAGACATCAAACAATGTCAAGGCAATCACCAATATATATCAATTAAATTGACTAATTCAGAAGATGAGCAACTCGGTGGTTTAACAAAAAATTGGGTTTGACTTTAACCATCACTATCACATTACATGACAGCACAGGATGCTGACCTACGTATAATTATTTATTTGTTACATTATGAAGTTATATAGATATTGACAACCTCAGCCAGCACCTTAAGCAATTGAAAATCAAGGCAGCATTGGCAGCTTTTTTGTGGGATAATCTAATGATTTTTTTCCTTCATGGGGTGCCATCTGTAAGTTTGGCTGATCAGATATAAATACTTTCCCAGAAATCAATGACTGCTTTCTTTTTGGTTTGCTATTACGATGATTTTCTTCAGATGTGATTGGAATCGGAAGACCAAAAGTAATGGTTATAGAGAAGAAGTAACCCAGGAGCTTGCCTTGGTTGTGGCCCGGTAACAAAAAAAAAGGTCGGCAGATGATGGCCTGCTTCAGAAGATAAAACTAATAAATTGTTGTTTACAGTAGAATACAGGATTACTGATTGAACAGAAGGGTGTAGTTCCCTAGTGGCCAACTACCCACCTCTTTTTGCAACTTGAGCATTTTAAATCTCTTTAAATATGCTAATAATTTAAAGTTCTCCATGAACAATCCCAGAACAAATCGAAATTCCAGCAATTATTATACCACTAAATCGTCAAATTTATTGGAGAAAATTTCATCCAAAATTTTCTATAAATTATTTCTCAATTTTCCACCATGGAGAATCATTCGGGACAGCCCAAACAATACTTCAAGTCAGAAGGGAAACAAGGATGACGCCTCCAAGAATTACCGTGCAACTTGAGAATGTTGAGCACCTTCTCTTTGGTCGACGATCGTCCCTCCAAATGTATCAATGCCACGAGCTTCTTCACTGCTCCATATATGAGCATTTCCTCCAAAACCCTTTCCGTTGGGTGAAAAGTAGACGTCAACCACAAGATCTTCACGCCAAGTTTGGTAGCCGAATTAGAGACATGCAACAACTTCTTGGAAACAGCAGGGATACCCAAACCATGCTCCACTAAGGCCATCCTTCCCTCTGCGCATTCACACAACAGCTTGATCAAAAGCAACATTTTCTCACATTTGGATTTGTTAGAGTCCGGTAAGAGCTCCACAAAGACACAAACAGCGCCAGCTTCAATGGCCTTTAATCGGCTTTTCTTTGATGATGCTAAAATTTCAATCAGAACCTCCAAAGCACATGAACTTGCCTTGCTACATAGCTCATCATAGACCAGTTCTAATAAAGATTTGAACATGTCAATACCTTGATCTTGAAGCAAAAAGTTCCAGTCAAAATCTGTTTTAGCTATCTGTCTAAATATGGTGATGGCATAAAGCCTGGCTTCAGCACTTCCACGTTGAAGTACGATTGCCATTGATTTCATCGGTTCTGGTTTCGATAACAATTGAAAAGTTTTGTCTTCCTCAGATATTAATGGGAGTAGATGTAAGAGACCTAAAGCCTCCTCGCAGGCTTGAAAGCTAACAAAATCAGAATTGTCAACGACAGTCTGATTAACTAGAACTCGAACAACAGCCTCAACGCCACCGGATCGAATAAAGTCAGATCTTGTATCATCACCCAACTGGACTATTGACCGAAGTTTCCTTAAAGAAGTTACCTTGAATGGAGAAGATTCAAGGGTGCTGAAGAGGGAGACCATCTCCTCGTGCTTGATAGATGGATGTGACGGGGAGGATGATGGAGTTACTAGCTTGTCCTGCCATGCAAGAATGAGACGCTTGAGGGTGTGATTAGGGGTCATATCCAAACTCTGAAGGGGTTGCATGGTAGCAGGACAGGTCGTCTTGTTGTATTTGTGGAACCATTTCTCAACGTTCTTGCGCTCGTAGGAGACTCCGGTGAGGATGGTAACTGGATCCTTCATGACTTCCATGGATATGGGGCATCTGAAATCTGGCGGACAGTCTGCTTTCTCCATAGCCAACTACCAATATGTGCTTTTTAATTAAAAGCGAAAGAACACATTAAGCAAAAGCCTTTTATAGACAAACAAATACCATGAAAGAGTGCTAATGAAGAGGTGATCTGGCTGTTTTGTCCAAGTCAAATATATACACGGGAATTGAGAACCCACATGGAAGCTTATCGCCTGACTTTCCGTTTTGTCTTTGAGTTTGAATTTTTCGAATCTGAATTAAGTTAAATATAAAATAATCCGTTGCATACCCTTGCTTCATGCCTCTTAATAGTATTTTACAGAAGAAATATTGAGTAAACCTTTGTTTGACTTTAAAATCCAACTCAGCGGCAGCCTAGACCTTTTTTTCTTTTAATTTTTGTGGGGTTTAAGTAACCAGAAAACACTTTAAATGGGTTTTCCTGGCTTGAAGAGAATCGCCAGTAATAATAAAAGAACAAAAGAAATTATCTTCCTTTCTTCATATTTAAGAGCTTTCCTTTGTTCAACTCTCTCTCAAATCAGATTATAAATCAAAATCACTCTCCTAAATGAAAAATAAATTAGTTTTAATCTTTATATTATACTAATAAAATGCTCACCTATTGCTACGGGCAGTAAAAATCTTTCATGCTTTTGATTTTTTTTTTTAAAAAGAAAACTATATTAATAAATATATAAGCAATATACAAATAAAATATAAATGATTAAAGAATATAAATATATAATTAATTAAAACATTGGATAAGTGTCCACATTTTGTTGCGGGAGCATGTTTAAGATGTAATCTATACGTGTAATTGCTTTG